CCAGCCAGGGAGATTTAGCACCGATGGGTGTGCAAGCCAGGGATGCACCCTCAATGCCCCAAGAGAAAAGCCATTAGCATATTCATGAGTCCCGTGTCTCCTGTGCGTAGGTATAGCGTCAAAGCTGATGACCTTTTAGCTTTCCAGAAGCCTTCCACTTTATCACGGGTTCCTCCTGTGAAGTGGGAATGTGCAAAATGCAAACATAGCCTCACCATTCTTTGGTACCGATCTCATCAGAAAAGCTAGGCGTTCCTAACAGCAGCAAAAGATTGCCGGGACACGGTGCCCCAGGTCCGAGAATCTGCTGCTCATGGTTCCTTCCTGCTTCTCACAACCGCGTGGGTTTGGCCCTTCATTAGGGGAAGGGGGCAGAGGTGTGTAATCAGGATTCTGCCTTTTGTGTGTGGCTTGTGTAAACTTCCTTCTGATCCCAAGCCACTCTTCTAGTTCCATCGCTCTCCCGCAACCCCAGGCAGCTGAGGAGGAGGAAGGGAAAGCCTCCAAGTTCTTAGTGTGAGAGGTGTGAACTGCTCTGGGCCATGGTAGCGGTGAAGGGTCCAAACAGCCTTCCATGTTTTGATTCCAGCCGTGAAATGTTTCATGAGGCTTTATGTTTTAGAAAAGAAGGACCCCCAATGTTAAACATAAAGCCTTCCCTCCTCCCTCCTCCCTCTCCTTTTACTGGCTGGGTTGGCCTGTGAATTGCACGTGCCCACCCAGGCGCTGGGCAGCTCGCTCCGAGTGGGGTCTTCGCTCCCACCCCCGGGCTGTTGGCTCGGAGCGGATCTGGCCTTCTTGCTCTTTCTTGCTCTTTCTCCAACGTTTTGCAGCTGATGTGTTTGGAGTAAGAATGTTTACAGGCCCAGAGGAGCATTCGCCACGTTGCCAACACTTTTTATTTTTTAAAATAATTTTTTTATTATTATTTTTGAACCAGGTGTATCTGGTTTTATTTATTTAACTTCACTTTCTTTTTTTCTTTCTTTCTTTCTTGATTAAGGTATTACATGTGTGTCCTTATCCCCACATTGCTCCCTCCACTCCTGCTCATGCCCTCACCCCCCCTGGTGTCTGTGTCCATTGGTTACGCTTACATGCGTGCATACAAGGCATGAGGGGGAAAGATCAACCAATGCTTTTTATTAAGGCCCAGAATGAAGTGAGATTCGAACTAGGTGGATAGCTACAGCTATCTTGGCAGAATGAGTGTGAGGTGGGAGAATTCTTAAGAGGCAGCAGCTCATCCATTCAGCCAGAAACAAAACACTACTCACCAGAGCAGAAGCAAACCCTTACCTCTCAGAGGAACACCATTCCCATCAATAGGAGGTAGAGCAGCTTCAGCCCAATAGACAGATGAGGAGACTGAGGCTGAGAGGTGTGAAGGGTCTTGCCCAGGGAATCACAGATAAGCGAGAACCCCCTCTCTGTCCTTCCCGGGATGTCATGGAGAAGTAATCCTGCCAGAGTAAGAAGCCTGGGGGTTAGGCTAGGATCCGGAGCAGGGGTGGTTATCTCTCTGCTTCCCGAAGCAACAAGAGTGTGTGCGGGACAAGGACGAAGAGGAGGAGGGGTTCCTCTGGGCATGTTCTGGGGTGTGAGCAGCGCCATGCAGCCGGAAGTGGAGGCATTTTATTTGTGGGGATCATCTCCGCCTCAGAGAAAAGGGGGCGGGGGGGGGGGCGCTTACTGATCCCTGCTGAGCACCAGGCGGAACAGTAAGCAACAGGGTCTGGCTGTTCCTTGAAATGAAAAGTGGATAATTGGTTTAAGGAACGAAGGCTTATTTTTCTCAGTGAAACAGGAGCCCAGCGGTAGAGCCCAGTGATCTGCGGGAGGTCGATGGTATCGCTAAGCATTCCAGCACCTTCCACGCTGCAGGGCCACTGAAGTATGCCCTTCTCTGTCTGGGAAGCCTTCACACGGTGGCGGGCAGACTTAGTCTTGTCTTTTCTGTGCTCTCGTGCATCTTTGAAAATGAGACCTTTGTTGCAGCAATTTGTCCTGGGTTGCAACTGGGCTTGCTGGAATGTCTCCTTCCCGGGCTCCTTGAGGTCGAGGCTCTGTCTTTTTCCTCCCAGTGTCCTTGGGGCCAGCAGGGCCTGGCCGAGGAGGTGCTCGGTGAAAACTGCGGCCTGTACCACCATCTAACGCCCCTGCCAGGAATCTGTTAGCGTTCCCTGCCCCTGGAGTCCCAGGCTGATTGCCGCTGGAGCGACCCTGCCCACGTCCCACTCACTGCCCAGAGCCTGGGACTGGCTGTCACCACAGTGCAGAGCTCTGCCTTGCTAATGCCCCTGCCTCCAGCGGGCCATTGGTAGATGCCCTGGGGGGCGGCATGTGCCCAGCTCCAGAGGCTTAACGGAACCGTTCCGAGCAGTGCTGAGTTTCGCTGGCCCCGCAGCCCCCCTGAGCCGCCCCCCACTGCCCTCTGCGTGAACCTGGCACAGCATTTGAGTGTGTCCTATGGAATAATATTGAGAGAACGAACAAATCAGTGGCCGAACCTTCTGAGATTTGCCTAATTGCAACTCAAATTGTTCCCATATTGGAAATTACATGGCTAAGATGCCTTTTGGGGGACTGAATATTAGGAGCCCAGGAAGGTCAGCCAACAATGAGTTGCCGGGTTTTTTTTTCCCCTCCATGAACTCTTATAGAAACATTTTCCTGCCATGAGACATGTATAGGTTGACTCAAAACAGATTTCACAATCGCTTTATCCAATTTTGGACGACTTAATTCGGCAATTCGCAGAACCCTCTTTAATCAGCCCTTCGTCCAGGCACCAGGACGTCCCTGTCCCTCAGGGCACACGCCCAAGTGCACAGGCTGTGGCCGGTCACTCTGTGGCTGGGAGCTGGGACCGTATGTGGGACTTTAGGGCCCCAGGGAGGTCGGAGACCAGTGATTTCTTGCTCCTGGGCATGCAAACGCCTCCTGCCCTATGCAGGGTCAAGGTCAGGGACAATGGAAGCAAAAGGGATTTGTGTGCTAAGATTGCTCTGGTGCTGACACTGGTGTGAAAGATGTGGAGGTCTCAGGATTTTTGACTCTGATATTAAGTAAAAATATGTTGGCTACCCGCCTAGCTCAGAGTCCTGAGGGGAAAGGTAATCTCCGTTCCTTCTCTTTAAGGCGCTGGGGAACCATTTCCCTGGAGTGGGATGGGGAAGTCAGTCCAGCCAGTGGCATCTACGAGGCGCAAAGGCTCTCACCGGGAGACTTGGTTTCTCTGGCCCTCAAACCTTTGCAAGCCCTCAGTTGTTGGTTCTCACGAATCCTGTGAGAGGGCAGGGGAAAGGTTATCCCCATTTTACAGATGGGGCAACTGAGGCCTGAAGCACTCCAGGGATTTCTCCAAGGTCACTTAGGGAATTAATAGCAGAGCGTGGTCAGAACAGGCCTCCTGCTCCCAGTCCAGGTTATTTTGTTAAGGAACCTGCCTCTCATTGACTTGGATAAAAAACAATTGAGCAGTTGAGGCCCTGCTAGCTCTGGAGCATGAAGCATAAACACAGGGCACGTGGCGTCGTCTGCACATTGTCGACCAGCCACTGCCAAGTTCAGACAGCTCGCTCCTAGGTGTGTTCTCCGTTACCCGGAGTGCTGTCATTTATTCCAGGTGCTTTGTGCGTATCCTTTGGTTTCGAGAAGGGCAGAGTCAGTGCTGAGAGATTGCAGGGAAGAGATTGCAGTGTTGTCTGGATGGCAGGAGGAGTGTGTGCACATATGTGTGACTGTGTGTGTGTGTGTGAGTGTGTGTGTGTGTGTGGCAGTGGTCAGGAAAGTCCTCTTGGGAGGCCAGTGGCCAGAGCTGTGTCGCACCCTCACCATAAGGAGGGGGGGGGGAAGAATATCTGGGCAGGGTTGTGGGTGGGAAGGAAGGCAGGTGTGAGGCAAATGGGGGTGTGGAGGAGGCTCCATGGGGTCGGCTCTGAGGGGACCTGTCAGGAGACTAAGTCAGAGCGTGAGCTGCTGTCATCCATCCGGACCAGCCCTCTCCATGCTCTTGGCTCCACATTTGAGCACCGGAGCCAGGCCTTTTGGCAAACACTCCCCCCCTCTAAATGCCTCCTTCCTCCGGAGACAGCAACCTGACCCCAAATGTCTGCTGAAGTGAGGAAATAAGAGAAGAGCAAACATGGACAGATATTGACATCAGTCTTGGAAAACAGCAATGACAAGGAGCTGGGGGGTGGGAGGAGGAGAGGCGGCTATTTATAGCGATTCGATGAGAATGATAGAGAGGATAGCCATGTGCTGTGTGCGGGAGAGATGGAGCGGAGTACACAGTGTGCGTGCGCATGTTTATTCTCAGTGAAGGGATCTCAGGATATGTGTGTCCAGCAGGAGTTCACGAGGCTCCAAAAGACCCCCAGAGAGAAGTCTGCCTGCGACAGTCCCACTTGTCTCTGGGCGGTGGTTGCCATGCTCTGGGAGGGGAGTAGGAGGAAGGGGCAGTCTGTTACATGGACGCCTGCAGTCTGACCGGTAAGACCGAACCTGCTAACACAGAAAGTTTGGCCATCACACTGTTAATTTCCATGGCTCTCATTTCTTATATTGGAATCCTGCACTGTGCACCTGGATTTTTCAGATGATCCCTGAGGCCCCCTGGTTAATGTCCACGCCTTTTCTCCTCCAGGGCTCTTCAGGATGAGGAAGAGCTGAGAGCAGTTTGTACTCTCCTTTGCACCTTTACTCAGCAAATGTGTGTGAAGTACAGCCCTGTGCCAGGCATTGGGGGGTGCAACAGTGAGCCAGCAGGGCGTAAGCCTCCTCTTTGGTACATGCTGTGTGGTGAGGAGGACAGCCGAGTGAGCAGTGCCCAAGTGTGATGGCACAGGGGATGGTGCAAGCACTCAAGAGGGCACCTAACCTAGTCCTGGAGGCCACAAAAGGATGCTATGTCTCCAGGGAGCCAGGACAAAGTGTTTGTGGCAATGGGAATGGCAGATGCCAAAGTACCCAGGCATGGTGGGTCCATGGTGGGTCTATGGTGGGTCCATGGTGGGTCCATGTAGGTCCATGGTGGGTCCATGATGGGTCTGTGGTGGGTCCATGTAGGTCCATGGTGGGTTCATGGTGGGTCCGTGGTGGGTCCATGTAGGTCCATGGTGGGTCCATGGTGGGTCCATGGTGGGTTCATGGTGGGTCTGTGGTGGGTCCATGTAGGTCCATGGTGGGTCCATGGTGGGTCTGTGGTGGGTCCATGTAGGTCCATGTAGGTCCATGGTGGGTTCATGGTGGGTCCGTGGTGGGTCCATGTAGGTCCATGGTGGGTCCATGGTGGGTCTGTGGTGGGTCCATGTAGGTCCATGGTGGGTCCATGGTGGGTTCATGGTGGGTCCGTGGTGGGTCCATGTAGGTCCATGGTGGGTCCATGGTGGGTCCATGGTGGGTTCATGGTGGGTCTGTGGTGGGTCCATGTAGGTCCATGGTGGGTCCATGGTGGGTCTGTGGTGGGTCCATGTAGGTCCATGTAGGTCCATGGTGGGTCCATGTAGGTCCATGGTGGGTCCATGGTGGGTCTGTGCTGGGTCCATGTAGGTCCATGGTGGGTCCATGGTGGGTCTGTGGTGGGTCCATGTAGGTCCATGGTGGGTCTGTGGTGGGTCCATGTATGTCCATGGTGGGTTCATGGTGGGTCCATGTATGTCCATGGTGGGTCCATGGTGGGTCCATGGTGGGTCTGTGGTGGGTCCATGTAGGTCCATGGTGGGTCCATGGTGGGTCCAAGGAATTGAAAGATGTTTATGCAGCTGGAGCCTTGGGTGCCAGGGAGAGAGTGATCTTAGGGATGGCATGCTTGTGTCCCCCAAATTCATTTGTTGAAGCCCTAAGCCCCAAAGGGATGCTATTAGGAGGTGAGGCCTTTGGGAGGCGATTAGGGTTCGATGAGTTCATGAGGCTGAGGCCTTCATGATGGGAGCGTGGCTCAGGAGATAGTGCTCACCAGTGGCTACCCTGCTCAGCAGTGAGGGGCCTGGGCTCTAGCCCACGCAGGCCCCTGAGACGCCTCTGTGCCCTGTGATGGAGCAGCAGCCAGGAACTCTCATCCTAATTCCCCCCTAATCGGAGGCCCAGGCACTGGGTTCACTCAAGGGCTCAGAGGCCAAGGGTTATGAAGAAGCAGCTCAGCCTGCCTGCATCTGCTTTCTAAGGGAGCTTCCCATCTTTGGGTCTGGAAAGTTAAGGCCACAGGAGGCCAATCTGGGCCTTCTAGCCCAGCACCCTCACTTTTGCTCATAGAGCTTGAGATCAGCTTCCCAATATGTGCTCACAAAGCCACACTGAGAATTAAATCACAATAATCCGAATTTCCCCCATCTGTTCATAAGGTCTTGACTCCCTTGCAAAGTCCCCACCAGACATATGTGCATCCCCAGCCTGTCTGGTGTGTGCTCATAAGTGTGTCGCCTGCTACTTTGTGCTTCCACTGCTCCTAGGAGCCGCTGCCCATCTCACCGAGCTTCTCTCTCACCATGGGCTCTGGCACACTGCTAAGCAGGGCTTCTGTCTGCTGAAATCTTCCGTGGTCACCACAGCCTCCCTGCTGCCCTGCTCCCCTTCCCCCCCCGCCCCCCAATCAGGGACTGTGGTTCTGCCAGACATAGCACTGGTGTGGACACTGAGCACTGGTCTGTGACCTGTTCAGCTACCAGCTTGTCTTAAAGATTTAGAGACAATAGACACAAATCCATGTAACTGGACAGAAGAAGATCTTAGGTCCATTCAGACCCATCCTTTTCTAAGGGACAGAAATCGTACATCCATCTATACTATGACTCCTGTCTGAGGACCAATTTTCTTCTTGAAAGCAGTTCAGTTCTTTATGCAGTTAGGTTTCTGGGAATTTTGCCCCAAGTATGTCTGGATCCCCACGTAGGCTTGACCTGGGACCCATGTTATTAACTACTATGGTCTGGGAGGCACTGAGTTCAGGTTCTTGGGGCATTGAGAAGTTGGCCCTGCCCATCCCCAGTCCGGGGGAGGCACCAGGTAATGAGTGAGGCATTGGTTCCTCTGTAAATCTCTCCGTGCTTGCATTCCGCTGCTGGAAATGACCCGAGGAATGGGATTCCAGGACCCAGGATTCTTCCCTTCATAAATATATGTTTTGCATTTTTGCTCGTCTGGTCATCTTCTGGCCCACCTCTTGGGTCTCTCACCTGGACACACAACAAGCAGGAAAGATAAAATATTCTGAAGTTCAAGTTGGAATGCCCCCGGGAAGCCACTGGAGTCCAAGGACACGTCATGGATTTTTGTCTTAAGTAGATTACAGCCTGAGAGCCCTCCAAGTTGTCTCTGGAACTTGAGCTATAAACATCTCGGAACAAGACGCATTCATCTCGGCATCTGTAGGGGAGCCCAAGACTGGAGTAATGATTGGCAGAAAGCGTTGGGCTGGTGGAAATTTTGGCATTGAGCTCCCCCCCAATCCAACCAGGGGCCCTGATTCTGTAGTTGGTTCAGTGGAAAGATGGTTTGGCACTGACAGGTGCACGGTCATGCCTGCGAGTGAATCACCTGCAGCAGCTGGCACCGTGTCCCCAAGTCCCTCCCACGGGCTGGAGGCATCTTCACTTGGCTCGCTGGCATTGGCAAAGTGGATCACATGGAAGGCTTCCTTCAGAGTTAGAGGCTGTTATCTTGCTCGGAGGGAGCCAAACGTTTTCTCTCAGTTTCCAGCCCATGAGGGAGGCATAGCTTCTATGCTGTTGAAATCGTTCTGGGCTGTGGCTACCAATTCAAGTCAACATGCATGGAACTTCCTCCTCTGTGGCAGACACCAAGCAGGACGATGGGGAAACAGAGGTGCTGCAGACATAATCCCTGCCCTCAGGGTCATGTTGGTCAGAATGCAAAGTGGTGGTGCAGGACAACCATTTGGCAGCTTGGTAGACAGTGTCTACCTACTTTTCTTGGACCATAAACCTTTTCAGATTCCAATGAAAGCGGTGGATCCACTTATATGCCAGTAAATGTACACATACTCCTCTGTGCTGGGCTTTCTTTACCAAGGCAGGAGATCCCTAAAGTCAGAAAGCCAAGAGGTGAAGAAAGAAGATTCTGAATTGTCTAGTCTGCATGACCAGAAAGGAAGTGGTGCATTGACATAGAAGACACATAGACTCTCCTCCCCCACTGAGTGACCAGGAGAGGGAATATAGTCAGTGTGATGGGGAAGAGAAAAGGCAGGGCCTTGGGAATCATGGAAGAGGGGACAGGTGAGGGACACCTTTCTTTCCAGCTTAGTTGTGCTGGCCTGGGCAGAGGTGGCTGTGGCCCCACTGGATGGCTTAGCCTTAGGGGCATGGTTTTATCTCTGATGTGTAGGCCAGCCTTGGCTATAGCCAAATACTTTAACCAGGCTGTTGTCAGGAAACAAACTTGTGGACAGCATCCTGGGGGAGAGCGTTAAGTTCTGTACACGGAACTACAGGCCGTTGGAGTGCAGAGAATTAGCTGGGGAACTTTTTTAACTTACTATGCCTAGGTCACCTAAGATCCAGTTGTCTGGAGGGTGGGGTCATATTTAGGAAAATGTTCCCAGGTTGATTCTGATGTGTGCTTAAGAGACACCAATTTAGATCATTCTCCTGCTTCTATTGCTGAAGAAATGGGGCCTTAGGAAGGACAGGCCTTGGCCCAGATCTTCAGCATTCCCTGGTCCTGAACCGACACTGCCTTCCTTCCTCAAGTGCTTCATCCCGGGGTCAGGCCATGGTGCCAGGCTTCAATATCAGATAATTTTGCAGGTGAAATCTGCTTTCTTCTTCCGTAGGAGGCTCAGGGGATGTGTGTCCCCCATCACAAAAGGTTGTAGTAGGAAAATAGTACATAGAGGCTTTCACAAGGGTCAAACCAGGAAGTAGACTGAGTTGGGTCTATTTCATGGCCTCTAGAGGACACATGGGTCCCAACATAGCTCACAGACTTCAGATTCATTCCTGACAGTATTACTGGAGTCAGTCTGTTCTTATTTGGACCCTGAAATCCTGGGATCCCAGAGGGACCAATATCTAGAGGGACCCTTTCTTTCCTGCTTGTGGTTTTGTTCGGGAACAATGCTGGGCCCAGGAGGGGAGGGCTGCTGCACAGCGGTCTTGGCCCTCTACTGAGGCTGTTTGGCCTGGTGACACTCAGGACCTGCTTTGGCAAGTCGTCTCAAGGTGATTCGGACCCAGTGCACATGGTTCAGGCCATGCACCTGGTGCTCAGGGTCAGTCTGCCGTCGACATCTTTTATCAGGGTTCTGAAATGGGAGGATTGCTCAGGAGGGGCATTTGGTGACATTTACAGATGAATTTTGCATCTTCTGTAATTTTCCAGCCCCATCAGGGAAGGGAGAAGCTCATTATGGAATTGTGTAGATGGCATAGCTGTATAGGAACACGGAGGAGGCATCTCTTCATAGGAGAAGAGCTGTCTTGAGGTGGGAGGAGGGAACAGCTCTTAGGAAGGGGTTCTGGAGAGCGGGAGAGGGCATGTCAGGCAGTGTGAGCCCAGCTGCTCTTCCTGCAGGGGCGTGAGTGGGGTGGTTGTGCGGAGGAGAGACCCACCTGCAGACCTCCCTGCCCTGTGTGGGAGCAGCAATCAGGGTCTGGTTACAGGGCCCTGGAACAGTTCAGATGCCTCATGGCAGGCAGGGTAGGTGAGGCACCCAGGCTTTGTGCTTTCAAAACTGAACTCAGGGAAATGACAGATGGCCTCACGATCCAGTCCAATGATTATGTCATCCCCGATACAGTGAAGTGACAGACCAGTTAGTGCAGCCAGACACATGGCTCCGCGTGAGACAGGGTGGGACAGGGACCTGCAGGGACACAGGGAGGATACCTGAGACCGAAGATGGCCAAGGGGGAGCAGAATGAAAGCAGAGGGCCAGGCCTGGGCAGACGCAGAGGGGGCACCCTGTCCTGCCTGGCCTTGGCTTTCACTTGTGCCCCAGGGAGTGGGAAAGGGTGATTAATGCCAGACCCACCTGGGGATTGCAGCATGCCCTTGTAGACTTAACAGTTACAGTGTTCACTCGAGATCCAAGTGTGCGGTCATTTGTAATCCTTCCGAGACAAGAGTTTGAATGGGGCTCACGGCAGGGCTGGAGTGGAGAGGACCGTGAGCCTTCTCATCCCTGCAGCCAGACAGAGCTGAGCTGGCTGCCTGCAGCCACATCTCCATAATGTGTACTCTCTGCTCCCAACACTGGCTTTGGAGGACAAGTCTGAAAGTGTGTGTGTGTGTGTGTGTGTGTGTGTGTGTGTAAGAGAGAGAGAGCGAGAGAGAGATAGAGAGCGAGAGAGAGGACACACTCCCATCGCATTCTGAGTGAGTGGCCCCTCCTGGAATTGTGCAGTGTAAAACCTGCCCAGCTGAATATATCAGCTCTGATGTCCCTAAAAAATAGAATTTTGAAACAAACGGAAGAGTAGACTGTTGCGCTTAGCACTGGCTCAGATCATGTGTTTTATCTGGGCAAATGGAAAAGGAATTTGGGAGGCTGTCTCTTATCAGACGAGAGATAAAACTCCGGAGAAAGTTGGAAAGACTGTCAACCAGGGTGTGAAGCGAGGGCAGAGCAAACATGAGCTTTCCTTGGAAGTGGAAGACAGGAGGAAGTTGGGAACTTGTTCAAATCTGTCTGCGTTTATGGATTTTTGATTTGCTGAAGGTTTCTGGGAATGTATTGCTATGCTATTGTATTTACAAA